GGCGACCTCTATCGGCAGTTGAAGATAATAATACCTGTCGTATGCACAACAGTGGTGCTTGTGTTGGTGGTCACTATTGCATACGACAGGCAAATCCACCTATTCGACAGGTAGATAAATATTCGGTTTTTTATTTTAACAAAAATAAAATCCAAAAATAAGCCGTAAAGAAATAATGGATAAAGATCGATATTTTTAGTAAGCAAAAACCTCCAATTACACTTTTCATTGACTGAAGTTAGAAATCAACTTCGTTTGATCCACCCGTTTATCCAGCGCTTTTAAAATAAAATATTCATATTTTCCATATATTTCTAAGAACATTTATCATTTGCTGATTCTATTGTCTCTCCACCCATCCCCCCAATCTTTTCCCTTTTTTATTTATTTTATTTTCCACATATTGTTTTGTTTGTTTTTGAATTTCGCGTAAAGCTACACGAGGGCTATCTGCGCTAGCCGTCCCTAATTTAGTAGTGTAAGACTAGAGGGAAGGCAGCTAGTCATTACCACCCACCGCCAACTGTTGGGCTACCCTTTTACCAACGAATGGTGGGATTGATTGTCACATTAAACACCCCCCACAGCTGAAAGGGCGAGCATGTTTGGTGGGACAGGGATTTGAACCCGCGATCCTCAGATTACGAGTCGAGCGCCCTAACCACCTGGCCATGCCAAGCCTCTAAGATATTGGACTTACAGACGTTTCTTGACTAGCTTTAATAATGTTCACTGTAGTTAAATGTAATTATCAACACAAGTGCAAATGATACTTTCTTACCACCTCATTGCATGAGTGAATTAGTCAAACCCATTACTACTGTCACTTGAAACAATCTCTATTTTTGATATGAGAGTTTATTTGCAATTGCACATCCAATTAAAAACTTTATTTGTTTAATTTAATCTTTTCAATCTAGTGGTTGTGATTCAGACTGCAAATGGAAGTTGTGTATCACCCTCTGTTTTGTGTGATGGGGAAGATAAGTGATGAACAAAACTATCCTGGCACACAACTTTAGTACCAAAGTTTATCAGAAGAATCCACAGTTAAGAAACTCTCTCTAACATCCGACTTGTAATACCAGTGATTTTAAAACTTAACTTGTATTTAAAGTAAATATTTTTACATTTTATATGCCAAACTTGTAATTAAAATGAATATGATTCTGTTTAAAAAGTTCAAGTGTTACAAGTTACATTGTAGCTGTTTTTAAGTTTCTTCATTACCTGATAAATCTTGATATTACTTTATATTTTATTTTACACACATTTTTTCATATTTAATTTTGAAACTTAAACAGTCTTGTATTTCATGAGATTGAGAAGCTGTATTATAAAGGGAATGAATTATTTAAAAGTTACTGACACAAAGATAAAGGCTAATAGTATGTTAAGACTGGGACACGACTGCTGAAAGATTGTAATATTTTTCTCACACTTCAGATTTCTCAGGTATATCAATGGCTCGGTTTCAGCTTTCAGTGCAAGTTCTTGAAGCTTTTTTTTTTTACATTGTCTTGCCAGTGTTTAACCTTGTTGTATGTGGCACAGGGTTTAAAAGATCTAATTAAACTGTTGGTTTCAGGCTTGTTTAATCTAATCGCTGTAGTTAACAGTAAAGGTGAAATCATCAAGCATTGTCAAATTTTTGTATCTTCATTGTGTTATGCTGAGTTAGATTTCATTTGAAAGTAAATCTTTAATGTTATTTTCATATTTAAAAAAAAGTATTGTTACGACAGCGGAAGTCACGTGACGCTGGTAACATATGAGGCCCGAGTTTGTTCAAGAAGCCCTCTTTTTTAGTATATAAGCCTGGCAGAGGAAGCCTGTGGCAATGAATGAAGAGTTCCAGGTAATTTACGATTCTGTTTCGAGCTTATGTGTGTGTGTGTGTGTGTG